GATAAAAGCTGGCAGAAGTAAAGTCCGCTTTTAAGGGGCGTGGTCTGGAAATTCACCGAACGACACCAGGGAACGTTGATACACGCAAAAACACAGTCCATCTTGTCTTTGACACTGACTGACTTGTTCGGGTGAACGCCATCCACACCGTTTGGAAGAGAGAGTTTTTGTTTTGGATAAGCATCAAACAGGAGTCCTGCCTCACGATTATAGTAGCTGACGCTGTGTTGGACACTCAACAAGACTGCTAAACCAGCTAAATAAGATGCGGGATGGAAACCCATGTTTTTCAATTCTCACAATTCAGTAATAGCTGTTCCTTGTTCGACAACATGTCGAAAATGCCAAATGCTGTACTTTTGAAACTCTTTTCATAATTAAAGCAGGTCTTTTACTGAATGGATGTGACGTCACTAGACCAATAACAAATTCGCAACAGGATATGTTTATTGATAATTAACAGAAGAAGTATCGTATAAAAAACTACTAATAATTGATGAAATATTCTAGAGAAGAAACTGGCGCTATATACCAACGTGGGAAATTAATTTCCGTCTGTAGCGGAAAATTCTTCAATTCTACATACAGTCTGCAACGTACAATCAAACTCTGCCATGTGCTTGGCTCGTACAATTTCGAAGTGCAAAAACATCTAACTGGAGTTACAGCTAAATCACACATGATAAAAAAATAGCAAATTTATATCGGGTTAGGCAAAAAGAATGGCGTGTTATACTTTTGCGCAAGGACCCCAGACGACTTACGTCATGCAGCTAAATATATAATCGGAATAAATTTAGAGCAGTCTATGTTTAAAGTACGAGTTTCAATATTTGCTTTTTTAATTGGGAGATGTTTGTCCATCCTTTGGTGATCCTCGTGCTAAAAATCTTAATGGAATTGTTCATTATTAATTGATCCCTTTCCCTTATGATCCCTTTTAAAGTGAAATATTTCTGCAATAAAATAAACGAAGAACGATTGTGTATATTCGAAACAGGGACTACATCTTTGCTTCACTGAGAAATTGCGTCGCTGCGCCTTAATAAAATTTTGTTTCGATGAAAAGTTTTCTTCCTGCTTCATTATGCATTATTAATGCTATATCATTACGTAAGTTGAAATTAAGAGGGACACTGTTTGCTTATAAGTTAAAGGGAAATCCATTGTWGTCTGTTATTTTGAAGTTTTTGGACGTGTGCTTGTAATTATTGAAATAAAATAGAAGAAGAATGAGAAAGAAAGAGCAAGATGGTACTAAAACAGACATATGACGATCGGCTTCCCTCATTCCTTCCTTAACTCAAGTTACCTTTAATAATTTCTCTTTGTCGAGAACGGTTCGAAAGAGATTTACTTTCTAGACTGTACGCATAGGGCTTTTTACGAAAGATGTGTGGCTCTCAGTGTGCCACTAAATATAGATAGAATTCATAAGTTAAATCATG